GGTTTCCTCCATATGTTTCTGCATTTGATTCTTTACTGCAGATGTTATTAATTCAGGGATTTCTTTTTTCATTTCCAATCTGATTTCCTCTATACCTTTCTGCAGCTGTTTCTTTATTTCAGAAGCCGTTGATTCATTGCTTTCAGCTGTGTGATTCCCAATTTGTTCTGTGTTAGTCCTCTGCACTTGTTATGGGTGGGCTTGGGTACTGAGATTGCATTTTGCTCCTTGTCGTTGTCATTTTGTGTAGCACTGTCTTCTGACCTCTGTTGTAGATCGTTGTTGCAGTTATAACCTTAGCGCCTACTGAAGTTCAGGTGTAGATCTACAATGTTTGGATTTATCCAGCTATGTCTGGCTTGGGTCTGGCTGCTGTGCTCAGCTCCTTCCTGTTACTGTCCTTGGGGGTGAACCTGTTGTACCCCTCTGGCAAGATTTTCTGCTCCTGGACTAGCTGGGTGGTTCTGTCCCTACGCTCTCTGTAGGGATTGCAGCTTAAGGGTTTCACCCCAGGCCTGTATGCCTTGCCTGAGGTAAGTCTGGAGGGGACAAGGTGGAGTAGGGGGGAGGGGAAGCTCTCCCACACACTCACTGGGCCTGAACTAGGACTGGATCTGGGGGTTCCCAGAATGCGACAGAAATTCCTCCTCTGTGGGCGGGGTGTGAGGTGTACTATGGAGTGATGGGGGGCATCCCAAGAGGGTGAAAAAGGGTGTCACCCACGCTGCGCCTGGGCTGGGACCAGTAGGTCCCGCCGGTGCAGGGTAGCTGGAAGCTCTCCCACACACTCTCCGGGCCTGGGCTAGGACTGGATCTGGGGGTTTCCGGAACATGGCAGAAATTCCTACTCAGCAGGTGGGGTATTGGAGGTGTTGTGGAGTGGTGTGGGGCATCCCAAGCGGGTGGAAGAGGGTCTCACCCACGCTGCACCTGGGCTGGAACCAGTAGGTCCCTTTGGCACAGGTTAGCCAGAAGTTCTCCCACACACTCCGAGACTGGTTTGCTTAATAGTCAATCAAATATATACATTTGAGAAAATATTTTGTCATTTTTTTATTAGTACATGTTTTAATACATAATGATTAGATAGGGAATTAGAATTCTTGTTTTTATTTTTATTATAAGTTGCCACCTTCATTTCCTCAGTGCCTTTTAGCAATCAGAAGTTTCAATATTGAATACTTTTTTTATTACCATAAAATAAAAAAATAGCTAGAAATGGAATATTTTGTTTTAAGAATAGAAAGGTTAAAAAGTTGTTTTATCTCAACATTGTGTTCTTCTTGATCTGTATATTCCACTGTGCCATTCCTGATGTTAAAAAATACAGGGCTAAAAACTGGAAGACATGACAGAAGGAGGCACATCTTGAGCACAGATCCACAGGACTTTCTTCTCAAATGAAAGGTTGACAATTTTGCACCCTTGAGCCTGCAGAAAGTGGGGTCTTGCTGATTTCTGAAATACCCCAAGGCATCTTTCTGCCTATCCTGTACAAAAGGCATGGTTTCCTTTTAATGGCATTAATCTCTTTAGCACATCTCCATTGGCCTAAATTTTACACGATTTTTTCTATGTAAAATTTAAATTTTTCGGAATTTTCTGCTCTTCCTTTTTGCCTGCAATTCTCACTTTAAATCTGGCTAAAAGCAGTAAGTATTACCCATACCATAGCTTGGATATTCAGGTGTCTTGAAATTTCCTCCATCAGACTGATTAGTGCACCATCTTTAATCTCAGTCTCCTTCAATGTCTCAGTACATAAGTAGAATACAGACAGACTTTCAGCCAGAGTATAGTACACATGGTTTACAGCCCAAATACCAACAGAGTCCTTGTTCCTCACTGAAACCTTCTGAGCCTGGTCTTTACTATCCACATTCTTGTCAGTATTCTGGTCTTCTTTACTTCCTGTACTGAATCGATGGCCTTTTACACTGAGCCACATCTCCAGCCTTTTTTATATAATTTTAATTTTTTTTTCAGGTAGGATTTTGCTATGTTCAGGCTATTCTTAAACTCACTATGTAGCCCAGACTGGCCTCAAACTTGCCCTGATCCTTCTGCCTTAGCTTTCTAGGTGCTAGAACTACAGGTGTACACCACTATTCCCAGCAGCATTCTGGTCTTCTGAGCTCCAGACTGCCACCCATCACATTCTGCTTGGTAAAGTATTCTAAGGCTTCTAAACCCCACAGTCAAGTAGTCATACCAAAAACCCCACACTGCTGGTACCAATTTTCTCTATCAGTCAGCTTTCTTGCCATTAATATACACTATCCCCTGCTTCAGCAAATGCAGGGATGGGGGTTTGATCCCCAGTACCACATGCCATGCCAGCCCTTCCCCTGGGTTGCTCTGAGCCAGCAATGGAGTCCAGGTATGATGGTGCATGCCTATAATCCCAGCTGCTGGGGGAGCTGAAAACAGGAGAATCACTATGAGTCTGAACTGCATAGTGAGACACTGTACAAAAAAAAAAAAAAAAAAAAAAAAGACGCAATATCCCGAGCCCACAATTTTAAAAAGAAGATTAATTTAGCTTGTAATCTCAGGAGATTCGGCGCTTGATCAGCAGGCTACAGGCAGGAACATCATAGTGGAAGGGCAGGGGAAAAGCAGAACTGCTTAGTTCATGGCACCCAGGAAGCAGAGCAGGGAAGCATGCCAGAGAGGAGTGAGCCAGGGACAATATATAGTATCCAAGGTCATGGTAGGTGCGTGTGTCCTAACCTAATGAAGTTGACATATAAAAACTAACAGTCATATTCTCCAACTCCTATCACCTTCCTCCAAGAGATAAGTATGATCTCTGGGGTTTTTGGGGGGAGGGAGGCTGGATGTGGTGGCACAGATCTGTAATCCCAGAACTTGGGGGGCTGAGGAGGATCCCCACAAGTTCAAGACCAGCCTTGGTGCAGAGTGAGACCCTGTGCAGTAGTTTATGAAGAATGGAGGATGGAAGAGATTGGGGGATGAGCAAGGAGGGCAGCGGAGGGAGGGAAAGGAGGAGGACGAAAGAAGAGAATCGTATGACTACCACCTAGCTCTAGAACGTTAGTGGAGAAATTAATATGTAAGACTTTCAGAACAATAATCATGGTACAGTACCTTGTCTTCCTTAAGGAGCTTCCCTGGTCCCTTTTCTGAGTCGGTTATGGTTAGGGAAACTTTTGTAATATATTTTCTCAGAGCCAATCTGGCATCTAAAAGAATAAGACAGTAAAACACTCACTGATAAAACAAAGATTTCAAAAAGCATTCAACCCTTTGTAAAATACATTACATATCCAGAACTTTATCAAGTTATATGTATGAGATTCATTGTGGTTATTTTCACTCAATTCCAGAAAAATAATACTCAACCAGCACATCACTTGGGAGTACTCAGAATGTTCCTAAAATTGTGCTAAAATTTTTGAAGAACAAAGGAAATATAAAATATAACACCTGACAAAGAGAGAACCAATATATTAAAATATCTACACTAGAGAATCAAAAAAAGTCCATAGACAAATTTTTCCTCTCCTTAATTCTTAAAAAGAAAAAATTATTTAAGTTCTTCCCAAAAAGTACTTAAAATATTTGCATTCATAGTAATGTTATCACAAAATTTGTAAGACCTATTTTAATAAAACTGCAATAATTTATTGAGCAAATTAAGACTCAAATAAAAGACCTTATCATATGTCTACATAGAACTGATAATATAATTGTAAATTAGTCCCAAACTAATTTAAAAGTTGAAGGGCTGGCCAAATAGCTCAGTGGATTAAAGCACCTGCAAACGGGTACAAGCACCAGGGCTTTGATCCTTGGGTCTGCTATGCCAGCCCAGCCCTCCGGGGCACGCTGAGACAGCAATTGAGATTGGGTGTGGTGGCGCACGCCTATAATCCCAGCTCTTGGGAGACTGTAAACAGGAGAATCACTATGAGTCTGATCTAGTAGTGAGTCCCTGAACACCCTGAAGATCCTTCCCTAAAATACAGAATGAATAAATAAATATTGATATATTTGTTTTTTCCTGCATTAAATAACCACGAATTTGGACTTAAAATGACAGAAAGTTATCCTCTGTCAGTTCTAGAGGCCAAAAGTCTGAAATTAGCTTCACTGACTTAAAGCCAGCATGTTGTCAGGGCAGTCTTACGCTAACTGATGGGAAAATACATTCCTTTCTTTTTCACTTTCCAGTGGTTGCCTAAATTCCTTGGCTTGTGACCCCTTTCCCCATCTTCAAATATATTATCCTGATCTCTTCCATCAGCAAATCATCTTCTCTTCTGTGTCAAACCTTCTACCTTCCACTTACAAGACCACTACAATTACATTAGAGTCCCACCCGATAATCGAAGAAATCACTCATCTCAAGAATCTTAAGGATCCAGGGAAAGCTTCCCTCTAACCTGTGCCTGCGGGACCTATTTCTGGTCCCAGCCCAGGCGCACTGTGGGTGAGACCCTCTTCCACCCCCTTGGGACAACACCCACCACTCCACAGCACCTCCCCCATCCTGCTCACTGAGTAGGAATTTCTGCTGCGTTCTGGGAACCCCCAGACCCAGTCCTAGCCCAGGCCCAGTAGTGTGTGGGAGAGCTGCCTCTCCCAACTACTCTACCTTGTCCCCTCCAGGCTCAACTCAGGTCTGGCATACAGGCCTGGGGTGTAAACCTGCAGCTGGAATCCCTGCAGAGAGTGTAGAGGATAGAACCACCCAGCTAGTCCAGGAGTAGAAAATCTTGCCAGAGGTGCACAACAGGCTCATCCCCAAGGGCACCAGCAGGAAGGAGCTGAGCACAGCAGACAGACCCAAGCCAGGCACAGCTGGATAAATCCAAACTTTGTAGATCTGAACCTGAACTTCAGTACATGCTAAGGTTATAATTACAACGAAGACCTACAACAAAGATCAGAAGACAGTGCTACACAAAATGATGAGAAGGAACAAAATGCAATCTCAGAACCCAAGCCCACCCATAACAAGGGCAGAGGACACTAACACAGGACAAATTGGGAATTACACAGCTGAAAGCAATGAATCACTGGCTTCTGAAATAAGAAACAGCTGCAGAAAGGTATAGAGGAACTCAGATTGGAAATGAAAAAAGAAATCCCTGAATTAATAAAATCTGCAATAAACAATCAAATGCAGAAACATATGGAGGAAGCCCAATGCCCACCCAGAAAAAGTGCAGAGGACACTAGCTCAGCTCAAATGCATGAATTAATAACAGCAGAAAGTTATAGAGGAACACAGAGCACAATTTTTTTCTGAAATAAAAAAAGAATTCTCAGAACTCATAGCATCTGAAGTAAAGAAGCAACTACAGAAACATAGGGAGGAAACCCAATCTGAAAAAAACACTGCAGTAAAAGAATTTATAACTGCTTCTAAAGAAGACATT